GTACGGTACCCTAGTATTTATGAATGTGCGTTCATATTATTTTCAGTTTTTACTGACTCTGTCCCAAGTGCCTGTGGTCGACTCAAGTGCGTAGGCGCGCGCGTTTGACCAGCGAGAAAAAAAAACGACTGCGTAGGAAAGAAAACGCATGAATGCCTGATTTTAATCGGTGATGGTGGAATTCCGGAACCGCCGATGCAGCAGCTTCCCATGCGCGCGCAAATCGAGAGCTGCCCAGCATTCCGCGACGCCCCCTCGGGCACGAATCACGCCGGCGCATCACTCATGCCGATCATGCGATTCCCGTGTAAAATACACAACAAAACTACTAGTTTGAGGAGGCGTGTCGCCGCCACGACCCAGCGGTCACGCACGCACACACACACGCACACATGTATAGATAATACACACCCACACACACACACATATATATATATATATATATATATATATATATAGCCGGTGATCTAGAGTTATCGGATACATTTTCCGGCGAGTCGAGATCCCTTCGCTTGAGAATCCCGCAAGAACAGCCCAAGCGCGGAGGAAGGTGCAAGGACAGATCGGTCGCAATGAATAGGTGAGTCGCTTCCGAACGAAATGACAAATGTGTGTCACTTTTATTTTGTCGTATTTCAAAGGATAAGCGTGAGATAGAAACGATGAGCAAATAAATATTATACGATAATTTCTCAGTGACCAAAACGCATGGGGGGTTTCAAAAGTACAATAGATAGATCATAGTCATAGGAGGCAGATAGAAGATATAACTTATATTTAGTGAAGCACAATGTAAAGAAAGTATGGGTGTGAACAAGATAATAAGAAATAGTAGATTACAGCAAGAGAGAGGGGGAGAGCGAGGGAGTGAGAGATAGAGAGGAAGAGAGAGGGAGAAAGAGCGTGAGAGAGGTAGAGATGAAGAGGGAGAGGAAGAGGTAAAGGGGGAGCGAGAGCGAGACAAAGAGAGAACAATGTAAAGATGGAGGGGGAGAGACAGAACGAGAGGGTGAGACAGTGTAAGAGAGAGAAAAGAGAGAGGCAGAAAAGAAGAAGATGAAGATGGAGATGGAGAGGAAGATGGAGAGAAAGAAAGAAAGACAGGCAGACACAGAGAGGGAAAGAGAGAGAGAGTGGGGAGGTGAGAGAAACGAGCCTACGCAATTACAGCTCAATCTAGATTCATTAATTCTCGAGCACGCATTCCATCTTCAATTTTTCAACTCTCACTTTTCACCGCTATCTCAACCCCTTAACTGATCTCCGAACGTATATATAAACTGGTTCTGTGATCTCGCAATCACGGCCACTACACCACTCATTTAATCCGTTCCCCTCCCCTCTCTGCAGATCCATTCTCCTATGTCTCGTGGCTGTGGCCACAGCGGTCTACGCCGCACCCATACCAGGCGGCGGTCTGCTGCCGGGTGAAGCCACGTGGGTGTGGGCGCGTTCGCAGAAGCCATGCAGCCAAGTGTGCGGCGACTACAACTTCGAGCCGACGATAGTCGGCCGCTACCACGGCCAAACGCCCTACTACCTGTGCGGCGGGCTCATGCTGGGCCTGCCCGAGATCAGCGGCATCGTGCGGATAGGGGTCAACCTGGAGCCGATCGGGTCGACATCGCCGGCGTACGAGTACGTGAAGAGGGTGTCCACCTCCTGCTTCCTCGCGGACGGGACATACGAGAGAACCTACAAGTGCCTGTGCGAAGCTAGATCGCTGCGTTAACTCGGCGGCGGCAGCAGCGCCATCTTATCGGCGCATCTACGTGCCGCTAGTTGCCCTCGGCGAAATCTCGGAGACGTAGGCATAAATCGCTGCTTAGCTGATTAAATTTCTATACGTATAGTGGATATAGATGTATTTTGCCCCCTGGCACCAAATTCGGCAAGTGGTTCAGTGTATTGATACAGGGAACAGCTGGTTCCCTTTCTGTTTAGTCACCAAGGTGGCCGGTAGTCAGCGAGTAGGTGGTAGAATATTTGCATCATTTTGCTGTCGATCTGCTTCTGCTAATGATGTGTATATACAGTATTACTTAACTTCTGTAGTAGAAACAGGAGCCTATCGTACGTTCGTCTTGTTATAAATGTAGTGGTTATGTTTCTTTTGAACATTGTTGAAGCAAAATAAAACATCCCTTGGGCAAGTAAATATTGCACAAGGTGAAATTTTAGGTATATAAGCATACATATAGGTAATCATTAGTAATCATCAGCCTGATTATATAACCTGAGATGATACCACTATCTTGGCCACTGAAATTGTTAAGCATTTCCTCACGTTTCCCGTTAATTTTTTTTGGAAATGCTCGTTAGCCTATCATATATATATTTTCAATGTTACTCCTGTTATAATACATGAATTTTTGGACTCTGAAATGCTATTAACATATTGAACAATATATTCAGCTGGCCGCCATGTACACATTCATTGTTGCTGTTTTCCTTCTGACTTTGAAAACTGTATGTAGATAGGCTCATTTACATGAAGCCGCGGGTTATTTCGAGAGCATTAAAAAATACTCAGATAGATTTCACATAATTATTTGAGGCATATTGTTGCTCAAATTACTGTGTTATCTACTGTGCTGGTTGACTAAAAGTCAAGTCATCATACTCCATCCCAATGCATTAAAATAATTGATTCACTTAGCCTGCAGAACTAATGCTGAGTTGTACGTTGGTATTGATAAAATATTCCTTAAGCCAAAGCTGAAACACTAATTAAGCTTACATTATAGGAATTATTTCAAAATCATTGCTTATAAACACACAATCTGGGAAAAAATATAGCAAAATATATATAGGTACTTAAAGGAATACTTGACTCAAGGTTCTAGGGTTATTTTCAGTTGATTTAGGTTAAAATTATGCTACATTAAAAATGTCATGGTTCAATCACCATTAGAAATGTTTTTAAAAAATGTTTTAAAACTAACGACTACAGTTTGGTTACAACGACAGTGGCGCCACACAAAGCGCACTATCTGAAAAGTTGCGCAAAGTGACTTTTCAGCCAAGGGTTACAAACCGAGGGTGTTTCTTATTAATTAATTTAAAAGCAGAAGGATATTGCAATATCTTATAAACGACATATAGTTTCAGTTATAATATGGATAAATTTGTCCTAAAATAAATATCGTTCGATTAAATAGCATTTAGGTACAAATATAATTGTACTTTTGTGATTAGCCCTCAGTCTGTAACGTGCAAAATAAATTGGCTAATGCGTAACTTTTTCAGGGTGGCAGCATGATCGCGGGTGTCATGGCAGCGCCCAAAAATAAAGATTTCGAAATTAAATGTTGTTTTATGACAAACGTGAATGCGTAATTATAGATATTTATAGGTCTGTGCTATTACTTATAAATCTACTATCATAATATACTCTCAAATTCTAGAGTAAAGTATTCCTTTAATACACTAACTGGAAAAACACAAAGAATTTATGCTGTTATATCATAGAAAATTGGAATTGAACACATTGTACCACCATGGCATATATATATATACTATTATAATAGCAACAATTAATTTGCAAATGGCACCTTTAAAACAAGTGCACCTAATTCAAATAAAAGGGGATCTGATTCTGTGTAGTGAACATGGTGTGATTTTTACATTACTTATCCCTGGCTGATGTCTCACGCTACCGTGAGAAAGTCCGAGATTCGCAAGAAATGGCAGTGGAAATCAAAACGAGTAATCAAAATTCAAATCGTGTATGTTGTGGGGCATATAGCTAAGTACGAGGGTTCTAATCTAGAGTCTAGACAGTCGTTGTTACTCAAGCAATAACGGTAAGTAACGTAAAAGTGGCGAAAACATGAAACCAGTCAAAAATTATTTTTGAAATCCTAGCTTTCAAGGACAGCACATGTGACACTTACATATGACACATTACTGATTACACTATCTATATTACTGCTACTAGTTCTTCTGCCTGCAACCATTTATTTCTGCTAAACATGTCTCAGACAACAATTTAAAATGGCTGTGTATACTCACTTAATCTCCATGGTCCTTACAAGGGGTTGCACTCTAGATCTCAGCCTCTTCCTTGCTGTCTTTTTGCCACTTGCATGTGCAGAGCAGTATTCAGTTAACAGGCACTTTGTGATTGTCATGGCAACCTGCTTCCCAAGTGGCACATCCTGTACAAGCTTTATGAGGAACTTTAGATACCTGGATGCCTTTAGGAACAAACACGTCGAATGTTAAAGGGATCCTTTACTTTAGGTTCTAGGGTTCACGCACGCACGCACGAACGCACACACACACAGACATGCACAATTAAACCAACAAAATATATAAGGCATCATGTTAACACCCACATTTCTAAATCTCCCACTCAAACTCGTGACCAATTAATATGATAAGAGAAATGTAATTAACTAATACACCACGACCCCTATTAATATAGTTTCATTCAACATTGTTTTGTTATGTCGTAAAAAGGGAAAAAATACTACTGTCACTGAGGCGTCGGCTATATTACAAGAAATAATCTTTGTACTGAGTAAAATTTTACCCTTTACTTAACAATGGATATTTGCTTTATTTATTTTTAAAAACTTAATATGTTTGAAACTTAGGCATAAAGTGCATTATTAACGTGTTTAACGGTTTCGTTCCATGTCGCTTGGGAAATTGGTGTACATGCAATGCGTATCAAACTGGTATGCATGGAACTGCTATGAGAACAGAAATGTGATCACGCTTTACTAATATGCAAACCTATTAGGTATCTGATAACTTGATCGAGTTAACATCTTGTTAGAACCCCAGTTTGTAAATTTCACAACGGACAGAGGAAGTTTCATGAAATCTGAAAACTGTGAAATTATAAAGGAACTGGTACTGTTAAACACTAATAAATTTCTTTTTTTATACAATAACATAAAACAATCTATTTCACAAACAGATTACAATAACCACATTTCAACATTTTAAAAAGCACGTGGATAGAATAAATGATTACCACATGACCTAGTTAAAATATGGAAATGGCCCGGCATGTTTATTAATACGATATTAAAATTTAAATTCGATGCATAAAAATATGAATTAATTAGCATGAGATTGTGTTGACGTAGTAATGTATACATTTAACACATATTTGTGAGTGCATGCATGCGTTACCTGGTGCTTAGAAGGGGTTAGTGACATGCTGATGAAATGCTCTACGATAGGTCGCATTTTCTTGCTATGCTTGTCCTTTAGCGCGACCTCTACGGCTGCGTCCAGCGTTTCAGGATACCTGTGCAAATGGATCAACGCGTCAGAGGCGTGTTATTGTTGCTGCTCAAGGAACCGCTAACCCGAAACGCGGCACGCCCAGGCGCCCGGGCCGCGTTCCACAAATGCCTCACGAGAGATACGTACGACTTTCCGCACGCGCTCACGACTGCAACTGGTTCTGAAATATTTGGGTCTTACCACATAGTAATTAGCGTTTCATTACACGTATCGTTGCCTGTTAGTGTAGGTATGTGGCAGCCCACACATCCAGACTGCATCGAAAACACGCAACCCTAAATTATAGGGTGCGCGCGTTCAACCCTAGTATATAAACAGCATAAATCATTTGTCATAGTATATTTCTTTCTCGAGTGCACGAGATATAGGAATACTTCCTGTATGCAATAACTCAAACCAGGATATCAGTTGCATGGATACTGTGATTCGCTTAGCTAAAAAAATTCTAATAACTATGACTCAATTTTATGACTCCTTGTGAATTTTTACTGATCCATTTTCAAACTGGTGGCCTATATTATAACCACGTACTTCCTTACTGCCTGGCACGCGATCGTACTGCTCGAACGTTTAACCTGCAAAGCTCGGAAAGACAACTCGTAAAACGATTAGCATGCACAGAAATTGCGCTCACATCCACATTTTACAACGCCGTGACGCGCGCTTTAATGAGCATTTAGCTTTTACACATACACGGATAATAGTGCATAACTATCATCATCCCAAATCTTCCGTGGTTAAATATATGCTATTAGTATTACTATAATTAGTAGTGCCAAACGGGTATATATTCCGCGCGATTTAATCACAAAAGATACTCGATATCGCCATTCAGTAGTCACTATTCGTTTGAATAACCACGCCATGTTCAACTGATCCCTATTATCTGTTTTCTTGCACAGGCAACTCTGCACGTACACCAGAGATGCATGCATATCCCGAGCCACGACCCAGCATATGATGCACGGCTTAATAATATCAGGAGTAGATAATAGGTCCCTATTATCTACTCCTGATAATATCAGGAGTGAATAATAATAATAATAATAATAATAATAATAATAATAATAAAATAAATATATATAAATATATAAAAATAAATGACAAGTGACAAGTAAATATAACAGTCAACATATTTACTACTTTCTTTCTGTTTGAACATTTGTGTCCTTAATTGGTTGGGTCTTTGGGTTATTACTATACAGGGTACATTACGACGTTCTTTTCTCGTGCAGAACTGTTAACGCATTGTGACAGGTATAAACACCTCAATTTGTCTATATCTACGTTTTGCCACGTACTGGGTCCATGTTCTCATATTGCATGCATACGTGATTATTTAGATTCTTTGAACCTTGTTGTAAATCGCTAATCGTTGTTAATTGCTTTAAAAAATAATTTGTTATTATATCCAATTGTATTTCCACATTACCAAACACATTTTACTAGTACAAGTATTTATCGCACTTTGTCACTGGTAGAAATATGTCTTTGCTAGCACTTCGAATACAAATCATCTGGCGGGTGGCCAATACCATTTCCACGTGGCTACAGCAGTGTTTCTGTACTAATAACAATAAAACATGGGTAAAAACATATGGTAACATGGGTATCCTGAAAATTTAATTAATTAATTAATTAATTGGATCCGGATCACCACCAAAATGTAATCAATTCTAAGTTACCCCATTCCTGACCTATCCTGCCGGCTGACTTGAAGATGAGTTCCTTGGCATTGTGGCCTTGAGTGGAATATCGATACAAGCAGGCAAAGTGCGGTATGGCACTATGGCAGTTTAGTTCATGGCGGAGTATTGGATGAGTTTATTTTCTAGGAGAAGATATAAAACGAAACGACTGCGTAGTTGTAAAGAAAACGACATGAATGCTGAATTTTAATTGGTGATGGTGATTCGGAAACTGCGATCGCAGCAGGACTTCCGCATGCGCCGCGCAAATGCGGAGAGCTGCCCAGCCATTCTCGGCGACGCCACTCTGGGCACGAATCAAGACCGACAGATCACCTCATGCGGATACTGGATTCCGGTGTGAAAAGGTGAAGCGATATAATACAACCTACTAGCGTGGAGGACGCAAGCGTGTCGCCGGGCCTTGTCGCCGGACACGGCCCATAGCTGGCTCAACAGATGCACTCACACACACACGCCGTGTCGATGCGCTAGGCGGAGGGTAGAAGGTAAAGCTAAAACATTGCGGGTCACTCTTGCTGTTTGTCACTTACAGCTGAATTACCCCGGTCCACTCGCTGGCCTGTCTGTATACTAATAATCAGCTCGACTGTTTTTTATTCAATTGCTCACGAGTTCCAGCCAATCTGCCCGCGCGCACCGACCATGGTATAAGGATAATACAGCGGGACACACGACACACCATAGCGATCAGCATATATATTCGTAGTATCTATATGGTCATAACTGTCATACGAGGCCGGTGGATGGGCTAGAGTTATTCTGGATACATCTCTTCCGGGCGATCGGATCCTTCGCTTGTGCATCCGCGCAATAGAAACGGAGTAGTACCCAAGCGCGCAGGAAGGTGCGGCAAGGCACAGATGCGGAAAGCCCTGCTAATGCATAGGTGAGTCGTTTCCGAATGACATGACAAATGTGATGGTCTCACTCGATTTATTTGTTCGTATTTCAAAGGAATGCATACGCGAGATAGGAGGGCACACCGATGAGCAGTATAATATTTTATAGCGATAAGTTTTGCAGTGACAAAACGCATGGTGGCGGGTTATTTCTAAAAGTAGCACACTAGACTTCGATAGCATAGTCTAGTGAGGAGGCAGATAGAAGTAATTATAACTTATATTTAATGAGAATGTACATATGCTAAGCAAAGTATGGGTGCGAACAAGATAATAAGTCAATTATTCAGGTGAGATTAGCAGCGAAGAGAGAGGGCGGAGAGACGAAGGATTGAGTAGGATGAAGAGATAGAGAGAGAGGGAGAAAAGAGCGTGAGAGAAGTAGAGAGGGAGAGGAGAGGAAGAGGTAAACGGGAGAGCGAGAGCGAACAAAGGAGAGAAACAACTGGTAAATGATGGAGGGGGAGGACGACCAGAACGAGATGGGAGAGAAAAGTGTAAAGAGAGAAAAGGAGAGACGCGCCAGAAAAGAAGAAGATGAAGATGGAGGAGGAGAGGAAAATGGAGAGAAGAAAGAAGATCAGGCAGACACAGAGACGGGAAAGAGAGAGAGAGAGTGGGGAGGTGAAGAGAAAGCGAGGCCTCACGCAATACAGCTCGAATCTAGATTCATATAATGTCGCTGCAGAGCCCGTTCGATCTCCAATCTTACATTTTTCAAAGCTGCTCACTTTTCACCGCTCTCTCAAGCCCCTTAACGCGATCTCCGGACAGTCGTATATATAGAACTGGTTTCTGTGATCATCGCAATCACGGCTCATACCACACCCACTTTAGACTCATTAACTTCCCTCCCCTCTCTGCAGATCCATTCTCCTATGTCCTCGTGCTGTGGCCACAGCGGTCTAAGCGCCAGCAGGACCATACCAGGCGGCGGTCTGCTGCCGGGTGAAGGGCACGTTGGTGTGGGCGCGTTCGGAGCAGAAGCCAGGGCAGCACACGTGTGGCGGGCGACCTACAACTTCGATGCCACGATAGTCGGACCGGTACGCGATGTACGGCAGGCAACCACAAGACGCACCTACTTACCTGTGCGGCGGGGCCCTCATGCTGGGCCTCGCGACGAAGATGCAGCGGCATCGTGCGTATAGGGGGCACCTGGAGCCTGATCGGGTCGACATCGCCGGCGTACGAGTACGTGAAGAGGGTGTCCACCTCCTGGTTCCTCGCGGACTGAACATAGCGAGAAGAACCCTACAGTGCTGTGGCGAAGCTAGATCGTGCGTTAACCGGGCGGTCGGCGCGGCGGCCATCTTATGCGCG